AAAAAAAAAAAAAAAAAAGAAAAATGAAACAAAAATGAAACGCCATTATAAACTAAACGAGCAAGTACAAATTATCGTGGGAAAAATGATAAAACAAATTACGTCTACGTCTAATTTTTAGGTTCCGTAGTAATGGGGGATAAAAAAAAAAAAAAAAAAGAAAAGAGGGGAGAAAATATTTAACGAAACGTGAGGATAGATTAAATTGCACGCGTCTTTTCGGGTTTTAGCGACGGTAGCGCGGAGATGAGAGAAAGATGAGAGAGAGAAAGAGAGAGAAAGAAAGAGAGAGAGAGAACGAGAGAGAGAGAGAGAGAACGAGAGAGAGAGAGAGAGAGAGAGAGAAAGACAGAGAGACAGAGAAAAAAAAAGAGAAAAGAGAAACGGGAAGAAGGATGAGAGAGAAATTTTCCAAAACATATCTTCGAAACGAGAAGTATACCGTGAAAATACGACTTTAGATTTAGGTGTCTTCCTAAAGATGGAAGTTTTTAAAATAATTACGTATACATTTGTAGTTGAGATAAAGAAGTTTTTCCGCGGCCGGTCAAACCATAATGTGGAGAAGAAAAAGAAAATGAAACGTTCCTTTTTTTCGGGAGGGTGGAGGGGGAGAGAGAAAGGGAGAAAGAGAAAAAAAGAAAAAACAGAGAAAGAGAGAAAGAAAGAAAAAAAAGAGGCGATTTAGCGAAGGAAAAAATCTATAGAAACATCTTTGCTTTCCTAAAATTTCTTTTCGACCACGGGGCAGGGGGAAAAGCTTGAAAAGTAATTCGTTAGTGAAAATTATCCTAGTCATTTTGGAAACTTTTTCTATAATTCTGTGATATATATATGTATCGAAACTAGTATCATGAAGTATTCGAAGCTCCAGAATAAAAGAAAGAAGAGAAAAAAAAAAGAGGGGTGGGTAGGGAAGAACAAGAAACTGGGAGAGGGGATCTAAAAAAGAAAAAAAAAAAAAACGAAAAATAAGAAAAAAATATTACGTTCCACATTATGATTGACGGCGTGTGGGCAAATTGCATATGTAATACACTGATTGGTTGATCGATATCGGGAAATTCTGTGATGTCACTTCAGTTGGGTATACTAGATCGAGAGAAATATTAGAGAATATATAATGAAAAAAACAAAAAGTATACGGAATTAGGTCGATGTTCGGTGTTGTGTAAGTTAATATTTGTAAAAGGAGGGAAAGGAGGAAAAAAACCGAGACTTTTTATGCCGAGAAGATTAATATCGAACGCTGCCGGAGCTTTCACGATCGACGACCGCTGATCCGATGTTTTTTGAAAAAAAAAAAAAAAAAAAAAAAAAAAGGAAAAAATTCATTTCGTGGGAAAAGAGAAGAGAACTGATTGCGAATCGTTGGAAAATTTGGCGGGAAAACTACGTAGGAAAAAAAAAAAAAAGAAAAAGCGTCGAGCTTATTATCGGCTCGGGAATTGCGAATCGGTACGATACCAAAGTGGATTTGACTGCGATTATTGCGATTTTATTTTACTTTGTTTCTTTTTGTTTTTTTCTTTCTTTCTTTCTTTCTTTTTTTTTTTTTTTTTTTTTTTTTTGTAAGTGAGACCAAAGGTTTTTTTTAATCGGTTTTCCCGACGATTCCTCTTCGACGCGAGATAACGCGTTCCTTGAGATCGGCTGTCGTAAGCGAATCGAGGGGCGAAACGCAGTGTTCGGGTTATAATATAACATATCTCTTCAGGGTACTCGACCCACTGTACACTGACACGGTGTTGAATCGAAAATCTTAAAAAATAGTAAAGAAAAAAAAAACGAAAAAAAAAAAAAAAGTTATATTATAGTATATATCATACAATACAAAATCTATTTCCAATGTGCCAACGTCTTCGAACTAACAAAAAGGGGAAAAAATTACAAAGAACTTTTAGGTCTTCTACTGTTTACTACGAAAAGATGAAAAAAAGAAAAAGAAAAAAAAAGAAAAAAAAAAGAAAAAAAAAATAGTAGTTAGCCGCGCGTCGCATCTTCTTATTCGAGAAACGAATATTACCAACATTATTACTATCACTAATCGTTTTAGGATTTAAAGCGAATATTATACGAAACTTTTTCGAATTTTAATGCATGGATTTTCGTCTCGTATGCTATTTAAAAAAAAAAAAAATCATAAGGAGTTCTAAATGGAGAAAGAGGGAAGAGAGAGAGAGAGAGAGTGAGAGAGAGAGAGAGAGAGAGAGAGTGAAGTGAAACAGAATATGAAAAAGAGAGAATGGGTGTGAAAGGAAGGAACGAAAGAAAGGGAAAGAAGGGTATGAATGAGCGAGAGACGTGAGAGATAAAAAATATTTTAAACTGTCTATTTTTATTTGCATTCTAATATCTCGTGCGTGTAAATAATTATTAAATAATCGATAAGCAACGTGTACCTCTGACGTGAATTGCAGAGGAAAGGATATCGAAAAATGGTACCGGCATAGGCATTATATCGTATATTGGCAATGGGCTGCGATCGTGTGAAGAACTGAACGTTGGAAAAAAAAAAAAGAAAAGAAAAGGCTTTGGCGTCCCCGTATAGGACGATACGTGGTTATTGTTGCCTCAAGATGAAAAAAAAAAAAAAAAGAAAAAAAAAAGAAAAAAAAAACGCCGTTTGTATAACACACTCCCTTTTTTCTTGTCGACCGTGAATCGCACCGACGAAAAAAAAAAAAAACGAAACACAACCGACTTGTCTTCTGCAGAATTTTTATACTGTGTGAACCCCGAACAAACCGAATAACCGGATCAATTGTGAGGGAAAGTTCGTGGAACTTGGCGCGTGCCGCAACAACACCGCATCGAATTACGCCATTAAACGGCTTAATGTCCATTCGGTTCGACGAACTTTTCGCGGCAATATCAATACTACCGTAGATTCTAGCTTCCGTTTGAACCGTAATAACCGTTGAACTTCATACGCAAAAAGGAAAAAAAAAAAAAAGGAAAAAAGGAAAAAAAGAAAAAAGAAAAAAAGAAGAAAACGTTTGTTGAGTAGAGGTCTTTGTTACGTACGTTA